CTCAAAGAGTACTTCTTTTGTCTTTGTCTTGTGTCTTATAAACCATTACATAACACGTCTCACCATGCAGCTCAACACACAGTTCAACACACAGCCATATAACCACTTTCTCTTCCTTTAGCTAAGCATATAAATCCATAGTACACATACTTACTCTTCTTTTTTCATAGATTCTCAAGACTGGATGGCTGAACGTTCTTGCGAGAACTCAGGGCCTGAGCGGGCTCATTCATTGTAAGGCTAAGTGAGGTTGAGATTTCTGGGAATAGAAAAGACGCTACCTCCTCGTGGTCATTCCTGGACAGTGCATCTTTTTGTACTGACGAAGTGCGTCTTATTAGTTCAATACTATGGCTATTATTAAATAAAGATCCTGTTGTTTGCACCATTATTGACTTTGATCAAGAAAAAGGAAGTTCGTTGTAAAAATAAAGCGTGGCCCTTTTTATAGCCTCACTTCTAATAATATACAGGTGATCACTGTTCATCATATGTATCGTATATTCCAAGAGAGGGTGGCTGTATACATAGAAGATGCAATGTATGCTGACATACACAAGTAATGCAAAAAAAGTAAAAGTATACAAAGAGGGTCAGTTTTTTCTTTCTGTAATATAACATATATCTTTTAGAAAAGAATAAAATAAATGAAGAGCAATGATACTTGATACTTACTCCATTGGTTTGATGTATTTCTTGTGATCCTGTGCTGGCGATGCATGCATGCATGAAGATGGCCTGATCTCTTAGAAGAGTACCTAAAATAATTATTTTATGTATAGAACAACTCTGTTATAGTCAGTGAGAGTAATGTATTTGTTACTTTCCTTATTGTTGGCTGATTTACCCTCACCCCCTGTGACGCTAATCTCAACTTTGAGTAATCACAACAATAAACCTGTTGTCGATGTTCACTTCAGTAATTGTACCTATGGTGCTCTAAGCGTATATTGGTTATCATGAGCCATGGTAACATATAGAGTGAAGCCTCAAGGAAAGTTAGCACATTTGCAGAGTCTGTTTCTGTCGATCATGTAAGTAAGGCGAACAAAGGACCTTAAGTGTCCCTAAAAAGTACCATTGTGCTACTTTAAACGCCGATCTACCCTATGAACCGACCGGTCATGCGTCACACGCACGCCTATAAATGTTGTCAGTACCATTTGTTTATGCTCTTTATTACCAAAGTTGTCACTTTATTATCTTTCTTTCCTTCTTTTTCGTTCTTTCCCCTTCTTTATGTACCCTTTCCCATCACTGGAGGCAACAACCTTGACAATGTCAGCAAGCGCAATTCAATTAATTCAAGGTCAGTCATTGCTAGATTCCGACAATGTTACCCTTGAGGCAAGTATCATTCCACTTATTCTTACCTTTAACAGTAGCTTATTTTATCTGTAGTGAGCAAGTAGAGCCTATATTTGGAAGCAGTATTTGTCCCTTTTTTTTTTTTTTTTTTTACCAAACCTTTACTTTGCAATTAAGGAACCAGAAGCAAGCTTTACTTGAGCTTGTCAACTATTTACTATTCAGGATAACTCACTATCAAGATAATAGCGTAAGAAGATACGTATACCGCATATTCTCAAAGACACCCAGGTTTTTTTTTCTGCAGACGGCCAGTGAAGAATCTGGATGACGGGTTATGGTCAGACGGTATCCATTGCCAGACGCCTCATCATACCAATTGGTAAATGTACGAAATTCAACAGGAATTTACTGAAATAGACAATAGATTTTCACTAGTAGTTAATACAGCCTAAACAAGTCTTATTTGGTTACAGCCAGAGGTAAACAGCAAGATTTGACAAATAATGTGTGAGATAAAGAAGAGACGCTTGCTCATTTATTGGTTTAGATTATATGGAAATACGCACAATCTTAGAAACAAAACTGTCAATGCCAACGGTTTGAAATGAATGTAAGTGGATAGAGAAAATGATGATAACAAGGGAGTGTTGTTGATGTTGGTTGAACCAAAGCTCATGAGGATTCACAAGTGTAGGTTTATTAGAGGCTTAAATCGTAAATATGCAACTAATAAGGAAACGATTTGATATGAACACAGCGATCGTAACGTTTACTATTTCTAGATCATAATTCAGAATGAGACTGTACAAATGGAACTATAATCACTGGGGTGGATGGTCATCAAACTATTTTTTTTTTCAGCGGCATCTTTTAGCTGGAATAATGAAAGGTAAAGCGTAAAGTATGAAGAAAAAAAAGGTAATAGGATAAACTTCGTGCGATGATGCATTTCTTTCAGTCAATTTGTTAACTAAGGGAACACATTTATGGTGCACTCGCCATTGGTCTTACTATAGTGACATATATGATATTGATTTGTTCAACTTGCGATTTAAACCAACCTTACACTTATCGTTAATGATGTCTATTGTTAGACATGGTTTCGCCCTTACGTTACAGTTGGGAGCATTGAGGTCTAGCATGTACTTCTGTAGAACTGGATTAAAAAAGTCTGGGATCTCATCTTTTCTTCCACTAAAGCCCTGAGTTAATTAGACTTTCAATAGTAATATAGCAATGGAGGAGCCATGGAAGGCTTACATACATCATATAGCTGGTACGCTTTAATCAGCAACTCTTGTGTAGCGATTGGCTAACCTTATCGTAAATTTAGAAGTTTATCTGATTGTTAAAGATATTACCCTGGAAAGAATATGGGCATCTTTTCTGTTAATGGAGGCAATATAGGTCGTCAGCTTCTACTCCGCCCTAAGGCCTTGCTCTTAAACAGAACCCTGTCATCTAGTGTGCCTATCGTCGTTGAGAAAATACCCTAAACTATGATATTCGCTCTTGTTTGAAGTTGAAAACGTACGTCAGCCAGGCTCATTTAAAAACTGGATCTATGCTTAGCCCAATTTGTAGATTCCTTTGGATTGAAGTATGAGTTGTTGTATTCAGCTTTGTTATTGTAAAAAGGCTATTAAGTCGATGACTTGCGAATTAGATTCTTTATTAACAAGAGTTGAATATCATTAAATTAAGTTTGTGTGAGAGTTTTATAGGGAATACTAATGTTGTCAGTATGATAAATGTGGTCAATATGACTATTTATCAATACTATGTTAGTAGCTATTATTGCTGTCAGTACTCTTACTCTCAGCAGATGCGATATAGGAATGTAAAGTAGAATGTATGTTCTACTATAAGATTATACTCGAGTTATTATAATGATTATCTCATCAAATACGTCATGGGGGGCTTTTTTTTAATATTCGT